GCTTATGTAATCAGCCCCTTAAAGTTAGCTTTAAAAAAAGAGTAAGAAATACACCTATATAATGATAAAACACAGACAGATAACACAATTGTTGCAGTGCAGCAGATAAAGCTGAAACCTAAGCATCAATAGGTATAATATAGCTATTCTTTATATTTGTCTTCAACTATCATTTCACCCCTTGATAAAAGAATTTTAGCAATTAAACATGCAATGAAAAAAATTCATTTGACGTAGCAACTTCCATAATAGGGAAGGGGAGAAGCTTCTGTTCATACAAAGATGATATAATATCTTAAAAACAGCATCTCAAAGAAACTTAATAAGGTATAAGTAAACGAGCCTTGCCTCCGGAGGTTTCGAGTTTCCAACGGAACTCCTTGGCTTACTAAAAAGTATTTTTTCATATATTGTTTTAGGGTAGCATCTATTGATGCAGAAATTAAACAGATTGACTTCTATGACTCAAAACACACTTAGCGTTTACAGGGAAGACACGACAGGGAACACAAAATATGCCGAATATGATTGTTCTTTGTTGCAAGTAAAAAAAAAGGAAATACAAGTTGAGCCTTATAACATATTCAAGTAAAAATTGTTTCTCATAAACGATAAATTTAGTTGATAGAATTTTTCTTTTAAGTATAAAACGTAACGAAAGTTTGATAAGAAATTTTATTGTAAATTTTAAGTAAACATTTCTTACTGAGTTTTTTGAAATATCACAAGTTATCATGTTTTGCATTTACTATGCTGTAGCTAATTTTTACAACCATTTGACCTTTTTTAGTGTAATTTGATCAATCCAAACTAAAAATTGTTCTAGCTATATAAACGGCATAAAAGCATGTGCAATAAGACATTAAACATACTAATTAAACATGCCAAATCCTTACTTTAATTGATCAATGCCTCAGTACATTCAAACGGAAGGAAATTGAAATTGCTATCGGGAGCGAAGTTTTAGTGTTTTTAAGTTCCTTCCTTATTAAATTTTACAGCTTTCTTCTGCTAAGGAGAATCAAACTTTCATATTTTCGCTATTGAAATAAATCTTACAACATTACCCTAGTGTTGTAATTCTGTAAAATAATTACTTAATGCGTTCAAGTAGCTATTGAGACGGCCTGATTCAAACATGGAAAACATTAAGTAATTAGTTTCTGAAAATGAGCAGTTGTACTGCCGAAAAAACATTATTTACGTAAGCTTTTGGCACCTAAATTGTGATATTCTACAAACTCTTGATTCATAAGAATAGCGACCTTATATGAGTATTACAACGAGACAATAAACCAAGCTATATAAAGTCACGTGACTCATGTGAACAAAGCATGTCGAATTATTTTTGTTAGGAGAGCTACATGCACCTTTTTAAAAAAATTTATTAATCTATAACGTCATTTTGTTGGTTATGATGATCTATTTACTCTTTGTAGTGGTCCACATTGCATTTAATTGAAAATGAATCAGTAGCCTTTCCTTTAGTTAAAAATTCAACAAGTTTACTTGTAATATAAGTGAAGTGTCATTGAGATTCTACCAATGCATTAATTTGTAAAGGAATGAGGGAATTACATGCATTCATGAGTTTTCTTCGGCGCCCATGTGGTCAATTTGCAAAGCATTAGTCGATGCAACTTTATATATAAATAGCCTAGGTATATGTAAAATAAAGCACGAGTCTTAGACGACCTGATTTGGGTGGGACTGCAATCCCGTTGTTCCTTCCTAATGGATGGGTAGAATCCCAATCAATTTCATTTTGTGATAAGCTTGTTTGATTTTTAATCCTATCTCACCATTGTTATATCACTTTGAAGCAGAAGTAGCCGAAAGAAAACTACACCTAACACCAACACCACATAGAGCAACATTATTTAATAATCTTAGGCTCAATATTACGAAGGTAACTAAACAGCTTGCTATAAAAGGTAGCAAAGGTTTGGGCATTATGCAGTCCAGAAGCTCTTAAAATTATCTCGAGTGGAAACCCAAAATTGTTCGCAGTTGAGGTGGAAATGCCATCAAGACTGTGTGGTTTGAATGTATTCGTATCAATCCCCGCTAGTCCCATTATAGACATAATCCAACATCTTAACGCATCATTGGAAAATGTGTTGCTTCACCATGCAACTAATGAATTTATTGCGATTTTCCAAAGATATATTACTAACCGTCGTTGTACCAGACGCAGAAAATTTCAGATTTGACTACGAGTGTAACTACCACTATGTGATTTGACAGCGAGGGATATGGGCTCGATAAACAAGTTGTCGTTCTCGTAGTCAAACAGATTTTTGTTAAGATGATGATTACAAATACGAGTGTCAAAATGTTTAGTAATAAATACATTTTTGAAGCATTCATTACTAAAGAATGTGTAAGCGGAGAAAACCGTGTTTTGTCAACGACGTAACAAAGCAAAACTCTCTGGTCGTCCTTTGAACTCGTGCAGATTTGATAGTGTTTGAAAAACTCACTCGTGCATGTTTTTATCAAATTTAACTTGAAACCGTGCGATTACCTATACAAATAACATTGTGTTATAAACATGCGTAGGAGCTGCTGGCGATTTGCTTACTTATCAAAACGGAATGGCATTTACAACCAAGGACTCGGACAATGATAAAGCTGGTAGAAATTGTGCAGTTACTTATAAAGGCGCATGGTGGTATAAATCATGTTATGCTTCTAATTTAAACGGATCTATCATCATGGGATCTATCCTTAAAGTTAACATCCGTGAAAATAAGGCCTCGCAACTTTGTCTGATTAAAGAGGAAAAAACTTAAGTTACATATATGGTTTTGATATTCACATTTTTCGTCTTACTGTATTTTAACAATATGCAACTAGTTTAAAACAGATTCGTTTAGTTTTGATTCATTTACTTAATGAATTTCTTGTATGAAATGAAATTAATCATTTGTTTTTTTGTGGCAAATTGTTTCGAAGGAAGAAACGTTTTTTTCGTAAATATTGTTTCACTACGTCATGGCTTGCCTATTTTTATAACAATCCTAAGCGAGATTTTACTTCTTACCATCCTCAGAAGGCTTAAGTCTATCTTCATGGCTTGTTGTGGCCCTGAAAAAGCTCAGTTTCTATTAATCTAGACCTAGCACATGATTTTTGACTTGAATGTCTACATATAGTTAAATGTGTTCACAAATATGATGGAAATATGTTAAAGTTTTCCACAAAGCATAATTTAATTATATTGAGCTGAGTTAAACAGCTAAGTGAGTAATTCTGCTGGCAGGAATAAAACAGTGTTGTGTTTATGAAATTGAGAAAATCCACATTTAGTCCGATACATTGTTATTACGTAAAGGGATAAAGGTTGCTCACCACAGTTACTAGTCGGGGAACTGGCGATATTACGCATGCGCATATTGTGCTCATGTCTAGTGGATTTTTTTACTTAAACACCTGGCAGCGCTAACTTTATTAAAGATTTTCTCGTTTTTCCTTTTGTTAAAAATTCGTATCGATGTTTATTACAACAAAAATTATAACATACGCAAAATAGAACATAATCTACAAATAATTTTTCATTTGTTCGAAATTTTCAAATATCTGAAAAAAACATTTATAGAATTCCTTCTTTATTAAACAAAAGGCTTTATGTATAAACAACAATCGTCACGCAAAAAATCAGAAAAGTTCACCGAACCGAGAAAAAGATACGGTCAATTCTCAAAAGACTAGCCATAAATGTGTAAAAGAAAAAAGACATGGTTGCCATAACAACGCAAACAGTTATCCTATTCAAGCATCTCTAGACTCATGGAATTCATGAATATTCCCACAAAGTTCGTATTTCCAAAGCTTGAATGTGTTTGCTCAAAATAATGTTGTAAGTAAAGGCTACCTGAAACACCCGAATCTCGGGTGGAATGTGAGGAGCCTCCTTAAAATCAAAGTACATTTTAATCGCAAAGTCTTAAAATCAACAAAAATGATATAAATGAATCGAAAAAAAGTTTTAGAAGGCGTATTTGACATTTTTTATGCTCCTGCATTACCATTGTTTAGTTTACAGGCCATTTGTAAGATAGACACATGCGTGCTTTTTACCTATTCTACTCGCCTAACCGAGATCTCAGCACGGTTATCAAAGGGAGTTATTCTGATGTCTCATGTAAATAGTCAGTCAAGTTAACCAAGGTATTTACAAAACAGAGACGAAATTTGTGCTGCAGCACTTGGGTAACTCGGCTCCATATAAACAATCCTCAAATCTTATTAGTTGGAAATACATAACCAAATGGAACAGTTGAAGTTGGAAGTCAAAATTTATATTGCCTAGCAGTCTAACACTGGAATTTTTTACGAGAAAAGAAATTTTTAAATGATGTTGGAAGTCAAAGTTTATATTGCTCAGCAGTCTAACACTGAAAAATTTACAAGAAATGAAACTTCTAAAATCGTATTTGCAGGAACAAACACGATTATAATTGAAAAGAGGGTGAGATGTTGTTTGGGGGTAGGATTGATATGTGCAAAATATATTCAACTAAGCACGATAAATTTCAAAGGAAATTGGTATATAGTAATACCATTGCATTTTATGCAGCATAAAAAGTATAAAGTTTGAAAATTCTATGTTTCATCGTCAGAGAAAATGTTTTAGAAGGCTTAACTTTAATAATAAAAGGGGGAATTTGGAGCTAAACGAAGATGACCTATAGCTCAAATGGTAGAATATGATACTAACATAAACAATACATCAGTAAGTGCGTTGAAACCATTTTAGGACAATCCAGATGAACTGGTTAATATATCTCTCTTTTATAATTTAATGATCCTTTTTATTATAAAATTGATGATTCTATAAAGAAAGTAAATGATCAGACAGCTGTTTTTTATCTATAGGACGAATAAAGCCAATGAAAAGGAATTCAACAAGATTCTTTATAGAAATTTTCAAAAATTATGAAATCCTTGGGAGGGAAACATTTCACGTAAAGCGCAATCAAGAATTTTGCCAATAATAAAGAACTAAATAAAACTTTTAATCAATCTCGAAGAGACTTTTGCTTAATCTAGCAAAAAGTAAGTAGGGCAAAATCCCTGTTTATCGAATTAACTAAAAAATAAAATCATACTATAATGAGAAATGTTATAGTTGAGTGGATGGAAATTATCAACCAATTAGATCATCAACCCATAAGATTATTAAACAATAAGATCATCTACCAATAAGATCATCAACTACTAAGATCATCAGCCAGTAAGATCATCCACCAATAAGATCATTAACCAATAAGATCATCAATCAAAATGATCATTAACCAATCAGATCATTAGCCAATAAGATCATTCATTTATCAATGCGATGATATAATTAATCCACCATATTTTGATCAATCTAAAATTTAACCCAATGAAAAAAATTACTGTGGAGTTATAGCTATAAAATTTAAAAAATCCGAAGAAATATTCCTTTATTCGTAGAAAGTACCTAAAGCAAAAACGTAAAAAGTCGCAAATATAATAATTATGGCGTAGCATGGACGGCCTCCCTCGACGTATGTGTATAATAAGCATGTTCTCGTAATGGTCGTTAATTGTTTTAATCAATTGAATAAATGCTATATTACAAGTAGTTATATATATCATAGGCAGTGGCATAGAAAGATGGGGTGCACGTGTCGGGGTGTCCCCCTAACATTTCAATTTATTATAAAATAGGCCTTTTTACCGGAAATGTATCCTATTTAAATGATTAATCGCCCGCAAAAGCCCCTCCAACTTTTTATGATCAGAAGCGTAGAAAGCATCCTAAGCCTCTGATCATAGATGTTTGTAAAAGCAAACGCTAGTCTTGATTAAGTGAGTGTCATTTCTTACATTTGAGTGTAGTTGCCACATATTATTTTACCATGACAATAACGACTATATTATAGTGAAAGAAACATTGGAATGTTTAAATTGGCTACTTCATCAACCTCGTGAAATGTTCATAAAATGTATTTATGTCTACAAATATTGGAAAAAACTATACAAAATGATTTGAAGCATAAACTTTACAATTCTCGTTTTATTCATCTTTAATGAGCAGTTTTAAGAGCAAATTTTAAAAGAGCAGTTTAAAATTTGCAGAGAAATCTTAAACATGCAGTTTTAACGAGAAAGTAGGACGCACTGAATGGCAATATAGTAACAAAATATTATGCATTTACCTGCTGGTTGAAAAGGATGATATAATGAAGTTTTTCATCTCCTCAAATCGCGCAAAGCATCCTTACGCTGCAAAAAAGTTGTTTTATGCGTCAAATTAAAATAATTATATACGGTAACTATATTTGTAAAGCACTGTTGACTTGAGCAAGCCAAAATGAAAATGGAATTTAATTATAATAGGCTTTAAGTGGATGTATAACGTTAACATACCAAAACAAACCAGTACAACAAGGCGGGAGAGACAAACCGCAAAAGCTTCCGAACTTAGAGCATCTCTAAAGTGCATGTTTAAACAGAGTGAAATGGCCATAAAGCACTGTTAAAGTATTTCGTTTAAAACGTCTAATTAACATGAAAATAGTCTTATTTTCAACTGAAACAAGGAAACTAAAAACAATGAGTTGAACATTGTCCTTATGATAGTTTGGCTTGTTATTTTATTTTTTAATTTTACTGTATGACTTCCAAAAAAGTAGCACATTGCTAAGGGGCTGTTTACATGATCCCGGCTTGCCGGGTTCAGTGAAACGTCAAATGAAATGATTTCAAGGGATTTAGAGGGCCAAAACTTCAAGCTTAAAAATTACAACAGCTTTTTAAGCGCCACTAGTCATTCCTGTTGTAATTTTCAAATTAGGCCAAATTGCTTGTTTTAATTTTGAATGTTTTGCGTAGATATATAAATCAGAATATTGTGAAATTGCTCAAGAAGATTTATCCGATGATAAGTATTGAATCGTTTCCATTCGCCTAAATCATTTAACGCTTGGCTGAATCCCGGATACCCTGCTCATGTATTCAGCTCCTAAAAGTATTGAAAAGAAATTTATGTCAATAAGTGACTCAGCTTCGCTTCGGCAGATAACATTGATGCTGGTCTGATTAATTGTTGACATCATGAACAACCTCATCCAATAATTGCTAATTATTATTTACTGTGTATGCAATCTCGGCTGTGATTGGTCAACTACCTGCAGATATTTCTCGATACCTGCAATTATGACGTCATAACTACAGATAATAATTTCTGCAATTATTGACGCCATTAAAAGCCGGTTTTGAAAAAAATCCAATAATAGCGATGTTTATCACAGTTTCTAAAACAATAAGGGAAACCTTTTGAGCAAAACGCATAGGAAAACACTAAGCAAGCGAGGAAATTGGTTTTGAAAAAAATTACAGAATATATAAAAAAAAATTGAAAAAAAATCGTTTTGCTTTTGCAAAAATTTAGCGAAGGTTTCAAATTGTTTTACATTTATCAGTGTTGATAACATTTCTGTTAGTTGATGTGAATAATAAAACAATTATTGGATTTGTCTTTCGCATGATATCAAGAATTATTACTCCATATAATGGCCATTAATTAAATGTTAAAGTGAACCCACCTTTGTCCCTTTAAAGATAATTCCACTTCTTGCGAATGCTTGCTTTTTGTTGTAACGAATCTTGGGAGATAATCAGTTTTATGATATGCAAGCACTGGATACTTTTTATTTATTTATATTCAAACAATTTGTAGCTACTAGTTCACTTAATCTAAAAATTGCAGTTTGGATTTGAAGTTTTCACGCAACCAGTAGTTGAGGCGATTGGATAACGTTATTTTCCGTACTTTAAGCATGACGTAAGCAATAGACAACACCAACTGCAATAGTTTCCACGGTTTGACACACAAGCGTTTCTGTAGTTCAGTTCAAGCTTTGTAATGTCATTAGCTAAATTTAAATGTAATTTCCAAAGTACATAGAACACATTGGAATTTACTTACTTCTTCAAAGTCATTATAAAGACTTCTGTGTGGAACCGCTGACACGACAGACAAAACAAGTATGAGGAATACGAGGACTTTGCTGGAGCGGAATGATTTCATTTTCTAGACCAGAAAAGAAATTACCAGTTAAAAGTTCACAGCTGTTGTTGCTATAACAGAAGAAACTCCTACTAGCGCACTTTAACATTCCTTTATTTCTATTAAAACTGCAAAATAAATGAGATTGAATTTTAGAGCATCTAGTCACGCTTAGTAATTAGAGGCCGACTGTAACCTTCAACTTTAAAAATAAGTACGCCAAGCGTACACGTGGGTAGCCACAAAAATAGACAGCAATTAGTTTATGTACAATAAACATCAAACTTTCCTAAATATTCCTGATTGCTAAAATGTGCGATGAATTCAATCCTCTGTGGAACGACAGTCCCAAACAAGCTTTTGCAAATCAGGGGAGCAGATACCCATTAAATTTTGGCGATGCTGTGCATGTTGGTTTTAGGCTGTAAATAGTAGATGTGAAGTAAGTCATTGATCTCTATATTAGGACTGGATAGTGTATAAACAATGTGATTTTCTAAAATCGCTCTTTCTGTAGGTATAGTGGTATAATCCTCTCCTTTGTTTATACTGACAATATTTAAAAATAAGCCAAGATTCTAAAGGATTTTTTTACCATCACAAGCAATGTAAATTAAATTTCGTTTGGTCGATTAATGTTTAAAACTTGAAGAAAAGTATGAGTATTTTTTAGTACTATGCTTCTTAAATGCATTAAGTAACGTCTCGATGTGCATAAATATGAAGTCATTATGACAATGGATCAACACTTTAGATTCATGTCTAACACAGTGCGATTCATAATTTATTTAAAAACTACTTTCGTATGCCCGCCCCTTATTCAGAATGGGTTAAGTAATTGGTCATTTCAATGTTAGTTTCGAAAAAAAACCTGATCAAATTGCTCTCTGTGACTAGAGTGAACGGAGCATTTTGTAGACAATGCGCACACTGTGTTTGACAGGCAGCATGAGTGTTTATGCATTGTCGTTATGACTTCATGTCAAACTATATGGAGATGATTACTTTAATGCATTTAAGAATCGTCTAAAAATACATTTATTTGCTTTGTGTTTATGTTTTACTTACGTAAGCACTGTGACCAGTGTGTGCATACTCAGACTAAATACAACTGCGTATTTATCGACCAAACTAATGTGTGCAATCTGAGAGTTTTACTCAATTTGCAATATTGCAATGCCGTGTGTTTCACGCGCGTAGCGCGCACACGAAAGAATTCGGGATTATAATGTTTTTCCGGATTTGCTACATGCTTTCATTACTCCATCCATCTATTCCTCCGCATGAGCGTGGCTACCCTCAAAAATCCGCAAAACAAAGTATGCGTTATATGTTTCAAACGGATTCACAGACTCACGCTAGTATTTTACTTGAGATTTACTGAAGTTGGGGCGAAATTTTATTGCTATATGGCTTCATGAAAGATGATCATTTCTCCATTTGGCAATCTGACGAACAAAAAAACCATGACCAGCCGACAATTTAAAAAAATATAGTATAAAACAAATCATGAAAAAGCAAGATACCTTGAGATTGCAAAATATAAATCAAAACAAGCCGAGAAGTGAAATGTAAATTTTCGACTTTATTTCAAAGTCATCCTCAGATAGAATGGTATTTAAAACCATACATACACATATATATTTACAATTAATGTATATATATATGTGCATGTTAGTCCCGTGCGTATTAGTCCGGTAAACAAAATACTTGAGCTTAAAGTATATTTTAGAATATATCTTGAATCTTGTCATTTTCCAAAGCACTTCATGTAGTATTATGCTTCATTAAATTCTTTGTATTCAAAATACCACTGCTTCAAGAATTTTTTCAAAAGAATAATTATGTGGCAATTAAAGCACACCTATAGCACATAATTGACAATAATAAATTTTGTGAGTACGTAGTCTAACTGCAATGTTTTAGTGTATACAATCAAAAAGTTAAGAACGGGAGAATAACTGACAAACCGTATTGTTTCCATCCATACCATTTATTCTTACCAATTGAAAAAGCATTTAAATTAGATATTGACAACAATAACAAACTTTACTTCAGTGATGATAACTTTATGAGATAAATTGCAGCAAAGCGATGGATACATTTAAGACTAAAGTAGGCACATGTTAAAAAGTTGCTTACCTCGGTCAATTGCGGCCTTGTTCGACAAAGATGCTAAGTTGAAAACTCGACGAAAATTAAGTGCTTGTGTATATATTTATAGGCAATATATCCACAGTGAATACTCTTTCAAAAAATGAGGGCCGAGGATAGATTTACAATTGATATAGCTGTTTGCATTGTGGGATTAAAATTTGTGCATGACGGTCTTGAGTTTAAAAAAAATATTTGTGATAATATCATGCTAATCACAAGATAGCTGCGTCAAATTTCATGTTGAATTTTCTCTGCAACTTTATGCTTACCTTGAAGTTATAATTTTGAAGTTATAATTTTGTGTAAGAAATATCTTTTATCATTTATATCATTCACAATCCTCATGTTCCTTGTGAATGGCCTTATAGATAATATAGCTATGCATTGAGGGATGAAATTTTCTGCATGACAGCCTTATTATATGGGAATAAGTATAGTGACAAAATCATGCTAGTCACAAGAGACGATGACATTCATCACAAATTTTATTTTCAGCTCTATGCTTATTTTAAACCATTTTATTAGGACAAAAAACTTGCAATACAACTATGGCAATACGAAGTAAAATAGTATATTTTGGAAGAGACAGTCTATTTCAATAAACATTAAATATAAAGTTATAGGGTGTAAGAAAATGCCTTTTATTATTCACATCATGTCATATCACTCATATTTTTCATGAATAGTATTATAGGTAATACATCTATGCATTGCATGATTAAATTTTTTGCATGACCACCCTGCGTTGTGTTTGGAACAAAGTGTTATGATAAAATGATGCCAATCACAAGATCGTGGAACAAAAATCATAGCATTTCGTTTGAACTTTGGAATTATAAGGCATCATGTCGCAGTTACGACATATGGGATTGTCGACTATTTCGAAGTGCTACCAAACTACGTTTGGTATGATTTGTTATAAGTTAGACTTTTTATGACATGCACGAGAACTGTTGCAATGTGTATAAATTTTTCAATTAAATCTGGTTTATTTATAGTGTTGCTGGCGATGACTAATATTAGATCAAATTGTAACCTACCCAAGAATTGCCACGCGCTGGTGATGACTCATACATCAAATAGTTGAAACTTAATCAACAGCTGCCGTAAATGTGTGATTATGTCTTTGGATTAATGATAGTATACAAAACCATTTAAAAACTGCTATAAAGCCATTAACTTAAAAAAACCCATAAATACAGTTTTTTTTTAATATTTTCGGTATATCAATATTTTGGTAGAATGAAAAAACTAATATCGATAAACCGATATTAAAAAACGATAATTATCGATACTTTGATCTATCACAACAGCCAATAATCCATACCATCTGTCCTTAAAATCAGGGCGAAGTTTATGTTGTGGGTTATCATCACTTGATGCCACATGATAGAGAGATGCCTTTATTGTTTTTGCCACTTTATCTATGTTATGCAGGTTCTCTCTTACTGCCAATCCATATTAGTTTGCAGAAGGTCAATCTCAGCATCGGCCAACCCACTCTTTCCACTTGCACCTTTACCATCACTAAGGTTTACTCCTTTAGGCGAACTCTTCAACTTCCAAATCTTGCTCCCCACGCTCTTTTGCACATGTCCATATTATTGCAGTGTCTTGGAATTGCAATTTTTTCCATATGGCTCTCTTTCAACTATTACACTATATGTTGATGAGTCACCATTACGAAACATATTCGTTTATCGTAATCCTCTTGTAACAACAGACCGTTCAAAACTTCTTATTGCTCCTCAAGTCTCCATGATATTAGAACTTCTTTTATGGTTGATTTTGCAGTTGTGGGAAGCCTTCCATTCATCGTATCTCACAACATGCATTTTCATCTGCCATCTCAAGAGCTGTTGGCACTTCTATGAAAGCACTTCTATACTCAGACATTTATTGATGTCCAGCAATATAGCGGTGACGACACCATTATGGGAAGTATGCCCCCTCATTTGCCATATCCCATCTAGTGAGATGCCCCATTCTCCATTTTCATTGTTAAGCCTTCCTTCATTTTCATTGCACTAGATAAGATACTGTCATTGGCCAACTGTTTCACAACATGCAATAGTTTCTTATTCTGAAGATTTGTGAAGTTTTGGCGATTTAAACGAGCTGGCATGTTCGTCACTTTATCGAATATAAGCACGGCAGAGTGTCCACCACAAATTTCACGAAATGCAATCACTGCTCTTAAATTTAATTCATGTTAATGACCTTGCTTCTTCGACGTATTAAAGCAGTATTTTCACTCACATTCATCACTAAGACATTTAAAGATTCGTTGGGACTATTTGGCCGGCAGCCGGTCAGAGTTGTAAATGTTCTAAATGGCCGGCGTATACTACCAGTATAAATCCACGAGATTTTCCATTATGTCGATGTTGACATGTTTGGCCTGGTGCCATTTTCCCTCCTCTGTCAAGATGAGAGTATGTTATTACCACACTCGGGACAAATGAGCATTAGTGTATGTTATTACCACACTCGGGACAAATGAACATCATGAAAACGCCAAAAAGCACAGACAAGTGCATAAAAATTGTACCTTCATTTGGGTTTTTCATTGAAGGTGGACATTCGCGAATTTTCTTCAAAGTATCGACTATGTTTGGCCATCTGTCAACCGCTTTTCATTTTCTATTTCGTTTACTTCTAATAATTTTTTAACTTAAAAGATTAAGAAAAGTATACTAGAAAACAAACAAAACAAATATTTCAGGCACTATGTAGAAGTACAAAGACTATTCCTACGTTATTCTAGACATAACTTGGAACAACGCAAGGCAAGTAAGTAAAGTGGTGTGATAAGACGTTCTCAAGTCGTTGTTATGAGGACTAAATCCTACCAATTACAATGAATCTTTTCATTAGAGTAATTATCACGAGTCCAACAATCGAAGTAACATAAACTGCGAAAAAATTTCCAAAAAATTTGAAAAAAAACGCTTCAGAAAGGGAGATGACCACTGAGTCGAGTCAACGCTTTTTAGTCCCATCTCATCATCGATTCATGCAAATTTCGACTTGCACAAGAAAACACATATCTATTTTCAGCAGAAACTCTCAACTTCTATCGCTTGCTTACAAGCTGATTGATTCCATTCTTGATCTCCGGCGTTAGGATTGTGGGTATCCTTCTCCCTCTCTTCCCCTGAACTTCCACGATCTCAAGTCTAAAAAGTGAACATATGGACAATGATGTGCAAGAAAACTTTGTAAAATGCACGTCAACCTTATAAGTAAGCGACCTATAACGAGCGTAGTTGCCACTCAGAGAGATGTTTCTTCAGTGGAGTGAACATGCGTTGAATGTCATATTCGAGGCATTTGTCCATTAAAGCCTTTTTTAGCTGTAAGACATAAAAAGAGTAAGATCATCAGGTAAATCTTTTCGAGCATTTTCGCAGTTTTCTGATTTATATATCAACGCAAAACATTTAAGATTAAAACAAGCAATTTGGCCTAGTTTTAAAATTACAACAGGAATGACTAGTAGCGCTTAACAAGCTGTTGTAATTTTTAAGCTTGAAGTTTTGGCCCTTTTCCATCCCTCGAAATCATTTCACGCCTCACTGAATTCCGGAAAGCCGGAATCATGTAAACAGCCCCTTAAAGACATTAGGCATTTTTTGTTTACGGCCATTCTAAGATTTTCAGTTAATCCGTAAGGAATAATATCATGTGCTTTATTCTCTCACCAAAATGGAATAATGATAACAGTGTTCTGTCGCCGTGTATACTTTGCTGCTTATTGTTTGTATTGCGTATTTAGATCTCATTGATTTATAAAAAACACAAGGAAGTAAAAAAGATTCATTCAACATCTCTTAATCATATGCATAAGCAACAAGAAACACGAGACAATATTTACAGAGTAGAAAATCAGGATGTCTTTTAAAAGTAATTTATACATTAAAAAATACAATCATAACAACTTAAGTATGAAAAGGGAAAAGCGCCGTGTTTTCAGAAAGAATTCATTGCAAAATGATAATTTTAATTTTAAATTAAACTCGCCCGAACACATTGAGCTGAAACGAAAGTCGACATATTCCTAACATTTAATAAATTAATCTTGCTTTTAATAAATAGGAGAGAGGTTTGTAAAATACTTATTAAATAGCATTAGAACTTAAATGAAGCAAGACACGAATTTGATTAAGCTCGCTTTCTATATAATTGTCGGAAAAAACTCAGTTTTCTAAGAGCTGAAACACACTCGCTTCAGTTGCGCGTCCAAAGCGAGTTGGTGTGCACGCGTCAGTCGCTTGTACGCCAGAAACATACATGCAGCGACCATCGCGACTTTTGCCGTGGCCTCTATTGAGCATGGCGGAAATTTTTGTTTGTTACAGACACAGACATCACTTAAACTTTTTATTTTGGCCTTTATTATAGCTACGAATATATGAATATTTACTATGTGGAGAAAAGAGAACAAGCCATTAAAACACGCCAATATGATCATAGCCCATTACTTGTATATCGTGGACAATCTTATTCTGTGCATTTAGGTTGTGCATTAGGGTTCCAGTTTGTAGCTCCTATTGTCTCTATTTGATAAGTCTTATAAAACCTGAAAGATTCCAGTGTAAATTCACTATATATTGCCCTGGTTTTCCAAGGTATAATCTATAAATTCCGCATGATGCTGATGACAGGGATATGATATGCATTTAGGAAGTTAAAGTGTATCTACTGGCCAATCAGTGTAAAGCGACTACAGCGACCAATGTCAAAAGTTCAACATGTTGAACTTTCAAAGCGACTACATGATGCTTACGCTACTAGCTTGGTAACCACGCAAAGCGGAAGTTTTAGACGCGCGACTAAAGCGACTGCCTAGTGTGTTTCAGCCTTAATTAAGCTCACTTGATAAGCTCTAAAAGAATTTTGAAGTACCTGTGATTTCCATATCATTGCCAATCGTCAAAACACCCATAGAAGTATGGGTACTAGGCAAAATTTGCGCGCACTTCGAATATAGCGGGACCAAAGAAAAACAATTAACAATTTACTTCTAAAACACAACAAATATACATGTATTTCTCCTATAGCATGTACACGTCGTCTAGACCTGCCCAGATGGTAATGTTGCTTAAAAAATCTGTATAATCTAAAAGCTTGAAAAAATATTTTGAGCTGCTCTTGAGCTTTTATGCATAAACGGCAGTCATAAATCATTGAAGGTGTCCGTTACATGAGCAACATTCAATGATTGATGCTTATTTGTTAGAAGAATTAGAAATGCAATGCCTATTTTGGTTTATTTTAGTATAAATTCAGCGTATGAATAAATTTATTGCGCTTAGAATCGTTGAATCACCCGATTCCCTGTTTCCTTAAAAAACAAAATTCGATTCAATGGCAAAATTCGATCGTCGAAATAGAACTTGGTTGTATCTCGAGAATCCACTCAACGATCAACATTCCTGATCGTCCAACCAAGTTTGCTTTTAATCGCTGCGCCAAAATAGCTATTTTTTCTACGATTGCCGATTCGACGATTATATGGATACCGAGCTTTACTTTTCAAAGTGCTTGCAAAGTAAAACGAGGAGCTCAAAAAATAAAACTCAATTTCACAGTGCTATTCGTCCATTGATTTTAATTTTGTTTTTAGAATTCTTATTTCGATGTGATAAATTACGAGAAGTTTGTATGATAAGTATACCATAAGTCGGAGCATTTGTTAGTCTGACAGATGCAAGTCTGTTCACCTTGCTTTGGCGAGATATATCAATTAACCCCACCATGCAGGAAGTACAGAAATATGAAATAATAGACTTTGTAATTGGCTCGCATGATAGGACTAAGTTAGTCACATGACGCATGTACAAGGGAAAGAATTAGATATGGAAGAGCATTGGATGGAGTTCTTAGCTGACAACAAAATTTAGTTTATTTTTTTTTGCTTATTCGCATGGGTAAACAGGTTGACTTCAATGAAATACCATTGAAAGATCGAGTTTAGTATAAGGTTGTTTAAGTTTAGCTATTCATTTATTTCTTTAATTAAATATACAAAATGCGTATAAGGTACATTATTATAGGCGTACTAATTAATTACATATAGAAAAACTGTACAAAATATGTTTAATTGTATAAATTTTATGCAGTTGAGAGATTTTAGTGAAAACATACAGTAAAAGAAGCCTTAAAATAATAAATAATCGTTGAGAAATATGGTCGCCCAGATTTCTATTGAAATCAATTGTGATTATAGTGACTATACGGATTACAACCAATGATTTAGAACCCAATCCTCTAGAAGTCTAACTACCGTATAAAAGTGAGGCAAGAACATGTCACGTTAATCAAGGTATTTACAAAACAGAGGCGAAATTGGTGCTGTTACACTCGGGTAACTCAGCTCTATATAAACAGGCCTTAAATCTTATTATTTGGAAATACATAACCAAATGGTACTGTTGCAGTAGGAAGTCAAAATTTATATTGCCTAACAGTCTAACACTGGAATTTTTTACAAGAAATAAAATTTTAAATAAAGTTAGAAGTCAAAATTTATATTGCCTAACAGTCTAACTCTGGAAATTTTTACAAGAAATGAAATTTCTAAAATCGTATTTGCAGAAACAAACAAGATTATATTTGAAAAGAGGGTGAGATGTGGTTGTGGGGATGGGGAGAAGAATCACATGTACAAAATATATTCAACTAAGCACGATAAATGTCAAAGGAAATTGGTATATACCATGGCATTTTAGGCAGCATAAAAAATATAAAGTTTGAAAATTCTATGTTTCATCGTCAGAGAAAATGTTTTAGAAGGCTTAACTTTAATAAAAAACGCGTTTTGGAGCTAAACGAAGATGACCTATATCTCAAATGGTAGAATATGAAACTAACATAAACAATACATCAGTAAGTGCGTTGAAACCATTTTAATACAATCCAGATGAACTGGTTAATATATCTCTTTTTTATAAATCAATGATCCTTTTTATTATAAAATTGATGATTCTATAAAGAAAGTAAATTATCAGACAGCTGTTTTTTATCTATAGGACGAATAAAGCCAATGAAAAGGAATTCAACAAGATTCTTTACAGAAATTTTCAAAAAATTATGAAATCCTTGGGAGGGAAACATTTCACGTAAAGCGCAATCAAGAATTTTGCCAATAATAAAGAACTAAATAAAACTTTTAATCAATCTCGAAGAGACTCTTGCTTAATCTAGCAAAAAGTAAGTAGGGCAAAATCCCTGTTTATCGAATTAACTAAAAAATAAAATCATACTATAATGAGAAATGTTATAGTTGAGTGGATGGAAATTATCAACCAATTAGATCATCAACCCATAAGATTATTAAACAATAAGATCATCTACCAATAAGATCATCAACTACTAAGATCATCAGCCAGTAAGATCATCCACCAATAAGATCATTAACCAATAAGATCATCAATCAAAATGATCATTAACCAATCAGATCATTAGCCAATAAGATCATTCATTTATCAATGCGATGATATAATTAATCCACCATATTTTGATCAATCTAAAATTTAACCCAATGAAAAAAATTACTGTGGAGTTATAGCTATAAAATTTAAAAAATCCGAAGAAATATTCCTTTATTCGTAGAAAGTACCTAAAGCAAAAACGTAAAAAGTCGCAAATATAATAATTATGGCGTAGCATGGACGGCCTCCCTCGACGTATGTGTATAATAAGCATGTTCTCGTAATGGTCGTTAATTGTTTTAATCAATTGAATAAATGCTATATTACAAGTAGTTATATATATCATAGGCAGTGGCATAGAAGGATGGGGTGCACGTGTCGGGGTGTCCCCCTAACTTTTCAATTTATTATAAAATAGGCCTTTTTACCGGAAATGTATCCTATTTAAATGATTAATCGCCCGCAAAAGCCCCTCCAAATTTTCATGATCAGAAGCGTAGAAAGCATCCTAAGCCTCTGATCATAGATGTTTGTAAAAGCAAACGCTAGTCTTGATTAAGTGAGTGTCATTTCTTACATTTGATTGTAGTTGCCACATATTATTTTACCATGACAATAACGAATATATTATAGTGAAAGAAACATTGGAATGTTTAAATTGGTTACTTCATCAACCTCGTGAAATGTTCATAAAATGTATTTATGTCTACAAATATTGGAAAAAACTATACAAAATGATTTGAAGCATAAACTTTACAATTCTCGTTTTATTCATCTTTAATGAGAAGTTTTAAGAGCAAATTTTAAAAGAGCAGTTTAAAATTTGCAGAGAAATCTCAAACGTGCAGTTTTATGAGAAAGTAGGACGCACTAAATTGTAATATAGAAACAAAAAATTATGCATTTACCTGCTGGTTGAAAAGGATGACGTAATGAAGTTTTTCATTTCCTCAAGGAAAGCAAAATGACCTTTTGCTGCAAAAAAGTTGTTTAATGCGTCAAATGTAATTAATTATATACGGTGACTATATTTGTAAAGCACTGTTGACTTGAGCAAGCCAAAATGAAAATGGAATTTAATTATAGTAGGCTTTAAGTGGATGTATAACGTTAACATACCAGAACAAACCAGTACAACAAGGCGGGAGAGACAAACCGCAAAAGCTTCCGAACTTAGAGCATCTCTAAAGTGCATGTTTAAACAGAGTGAAATGGCCATAAAGCACTGTTAAAGTATTTCGTTTAAAACGTCTAATTAACATGAAAATAGTCTTATTTTCAACTGAAACAAGGAAACTAAAAACAATGAGTTGAACATTGTCCTTATGATAGTTTGGCTTGTTATTTTATTTTTTAATTTTACTGTATGACTTCCAAAAAAGTAGCACATTGCTAAGGGGCTGTTTATATGATCCCGGCTTGCCGGGATTCAGTGAAACGTCAAATGAAATGATTTCAAGGGATTTAGAGGGCCAAAACTTCAAGCTTAAAAATTACAACAGCTTTTTAAGCGCCACTAGTCATTCCTGTTGTAATTTTCAAATTAGGCCAAATTGCTTGTTTTAATTTTGAATGTTTTGCGTAGATATATAAATCAGAATATTGTGAAATTGCTCAAGAAGATTTATCCGATGATAAGTATTGAATCGTTTCCATTCGCCTAAATCATTTAACGCTTGGCTGAATCCCGGATACCCTGCTCATGTATTCAGCTCCTAAAAGTATTGAAAAGAAATTTATGTCAATAAGTGACTCAGCTTCGCTTCGGCAGATAACATTGATGCTGGTCTGATTAATTGTTGACATCATGAACAACCTCATCCAATAATTGCTAATTATTATTTACTGTGTATGCAATCTCGGCTGTGATTGGTCAACTACCTGCAGATATTTCTCGATACCTGCAATTATGACGTCATAACTACAGATAATAATTTCTGCAATTATTGACGCCATTAAAAGCCGGTTTTGAAAAAAATCCAATAATAGCGATGTTTATCACAGTTTCTAAAACAATAAGGAAACCTTTTGAGCAAAACGCATAGGAAAACACTAAGCAAGCGAGGAAATTGGTTTTGAAAAAAATTACAGAATATATAAAAAAAAATTGAAAAAAAATCGTTTTGCTTTTGCAAAAATTTAGCGAAGGTTTCAAATTGTTTTACATTTATCAGTGTTGATAACATTTCTGTTAGTTGATGGGAATAATAAAACAATTATTGGATTTGTCTTTCGCATGATATCAAGAATTATTACTCCATATAATGGCCATTAATTAAATGTTAAAGTGAACCCACCTTTGCCCCTTTAAAGATAATTCCACTTCTTGCGAATGCTTGCTTTTTGTTGTAACGAATCTTGGGAGATAATCAGTTTTATGATATGCAAGCACTGGATACTTTTTATTTATTTATATTCAAACAATTTGTAGCGTCTAGTTCACTTAATCTAAAAATTGCAGTTTGGATTTGAAGTTTTCACGCAACCAGTAGTTGAGGCGATTGGATAACGTTATTTTCCGTACTTTAAGCATGACGTAAGCAATAGACAACACCAACTGCAATAGTTTCCACGGTTTGACACACAAGCGTTTCTGTAGTTCAGTTCAAGCTTTGTAATGTCATTAGCTAAATTTAAATGTAATTTCCAAAGTACATAGAACACATTGGAATTTACTTACTTCTTCAAAGTCATTATAAAGACTTCTGTGTGGAACCGCTGACACGACAGACAAAACAAGTATGAGGAATACGAGGACTTTGCTGGAGCGGAATGATTTCATTTTCTAGACCAGAAAAGAAATTACCAGTTAAAAGTTCACAGCTGTTGTTGCTATAACAGAAGAAACTCCTGCTAGCGCACTTTAACATTCCTTTATTTCTATTAAAAATGCAAAATAAATGAGATTGAATTTCAAAACAGTTTTAATCAATTTCCTGCAGATTTTGAGAGGATAATCGAAATCTTTAAATAGCGATTTTGGTTTAATACGCTATGAAACTCAAATTTTGTATAAAGCGAGTAGTTCGAAGCAACAGTGTGCCGGTTTCATGATTTTCACATCTTAGTCGGGCTATCAAAATTTAGCCTAACCATACAATATACTTCACAGAAAAAATATTCCTAATCTAATTGGCTATAAACATCGGAACATGCGCAAAAACGCAGATTTAGATCATCTAGTCACGCTTAGTAATTAGAGGCCGACTGTAACCTTCAACATTAAAAATAAGTACGCAAAGCGTACACGTGGGTAGCCACAAAAATAGACAGCAATTAGTTTATGCACAATAAACATCAAACTTTCCTAAATATTCCTGATTGCTAAAATGTGCGATGAATTCAATCCTCTGTGGAACGACAGTCCCAAACAAGCTTTTGCAAATCAGGGGAGCAGATACCCATTAAATTTTGGCGATGCTGTGAATGTTGGTTTTAGGCTGTAAATAGTAGATGTGAAGTAAGTCATTGATCTCTATATTAGGACTGGATATTGCATAAACAATGTAATTTTCTAAAATCGCTCTTTCTGTAGGTATAGTGGTATAATCCTCTCCTTTGTTTATACTGACAATATTTAAAAATAAGCCAAGATTCTAAAAGATTTTTTCACCATCAAAAGCAATGTAAATTAAATTTCGTTTGGTCGATTAATGTTTAAAACTTGAAGAAAAGTATTAGTATTTTTTAGTACTATGCTTCTTAAATGCATTAAGTGTCGTCTCGATGTGCATAAATATGAAGTCATTATGACAATGGATCAACACTTTAGATTCATGTCTAACACAGTGCGATTCATAATTTATTTAAAAACTACTTTCGTATGCCCGCCCCCTATATTCAGAATGGGTTAAGTAATTGGTCATTTCAATGTTAGCTTCGAAAAAAACCTGATCAAATTGCTCTCTGTGACCAGAGTGAACGGAGCATTTTGTAGACAATGCGCACACTGTGTTTGACAGGCAGCATGAGTGTTTATGCATTGTCGTTATGACTTCATGTCAAACAAATATGGAGATGATTACTTTAATGCATTTAAGACTCGTCTAAAAATACATTTATTTGCTTTGTGTTTATGTTTTACTTACGTAAGCACTGTGACCAGTGTGTGCATACTCAGACTAAATACAACTGCGTATTTATCGACCAAACTAATGTGTGCAATCTGAGAGTTTTACTCAATTTGCAATATTGCAATGCCGTGTGTTTCACGCGCGTAGCGCGCACACGAAAGAGTTCGGGATTATAACGTTTTTCCGGATTTGCTACATGCGTTCATTACTCCATCCATCTATTCCTCCGCATGAGCGTGGCTACCCTCAAAAATCCGCAAAACAAAGTATGCGTTATATGTTTCAAACGGATTCACAGACTCACGCTAGTATTTTACTTGAGATTTACTGAAGTTGGGGCGAAATTTTATTGCTATATGGCTTCATGAAAGATGATCATTTCTCCATTTGGCAATCTGAC